ACTTGCCCCAGAAATGCAGAAATAAAAAAAAATTTTTTTTCACCCGCAGCCAAAGTGCCATATTTAGGCTTTTTCCGGGGGAAAGTCGACTTTCGGCAAAATCGAATTTTTCCGCCAAGTGAACATTGATTCTGTATTTTTTCACCCTGGGCCAACGTGTCAGATCTTGGATTTGGAACTATAAACTGTAAATTTCAATTCAATTATTACTTTACTATTAGTTTTAATTCATGTTGCAGCGATTACAAATTGACGGAAGCAGTTAGCATGCGTCTATACCATTTTCAATGCAGTAATACTATTAGGGATATTACCCGGGAAACCTCGCCTCCTCCCTCTATTCCGAAGTCCGGTCAGGGTGAAACACAATTCAATACTTCAAGCCCTATGAAACTCCCCAGTCGAAGCTCCGCCAGATGTAATTACCCGGATGCCATATTACCCGTTGGCCCCTCAATATTCATTCCCCAACTATACATCCCATATCCCATCAACACTTCCTCTCCCGAATTTCTTCATGCGTAAAAATCTTAGCTCGCGTTACCGCATTTCCAGGTAATAACACGCACAAACGAATTTTAAATAGAAAGCTGTCGCATTCCCTAAAAAATTTCAGCATTTCCATTGGAAATTCCACTAGTCCTTTCACCGATCCTATCGAAACATTCCCAGGCTTTTCCGTGGGTACTTTAAATATGAAATTGAGACAGAATTTTTCTTACCCCGTTAATTTATTAAAAATGAACGCCATTTTTTTTGCCATTTAAAATCAATTACAGCCAATAATTAATCTTTTATACACTACTAATATTCGATTGGAACGGCCTAACGAATCATCAGGAAATATAAAATGATTGAAGAATTTTCAAATATTTTATTATCACACGAACTCGATGATTCATTCAATCATTTGGCTGTGACTTAATTCAGGCAATGTTATATAAGCTGTACAATATGACTTGAAGGGTCTGACGGTATCTTGCACATCACTTCCTCCAATCATGTATAATCAATTATTTATTTCATTTCATTAAATTGAATGGTATTTCTTTTTAATTAATTTGCTCAGTTTTCAACTTAATTGAATATTATCATCATCATTATTCTTATTAGCCCTTTCTTCTATACAACCGATTGTCTTTTTTACGGTTCTATCTCTCACCTGATGATGAATGCTTGAATAGAAGAGATGCGCCGTTAATTATTAACATTTTAATTCAGTAGCGAAGGGGTAAAAGGAGATGAATCAATTTTGACTATTGACCAGTTTTCAGTCAATATCTCGGAATCTAAAGGAGATGGAAAAATTTTTGTTACGACCTTTTTTGTGGAGCCGATTGAGTGCTATAACAAATGTAATTACGAAAATTTCGCTCTCTCCCTTAGATTTGGAAATATTCCTCAAAAGCTCAACTGGGAAATGAGTCGACTTATCTCCGTTCACCACTTCACTACTGAATTCTATTTCCCTCTTCTCCCCCAGGTATTGTCTTCCGATGAATCTTTACATTTGAACATTTTGTCTCCTTTTTAGCTTCTTGGAGTTCCACTGTGATATTCCAGTGCACTTTCACACTCTGAATACCAGCCAACACTACCACCACCTGAACTCAAGAATAACCACTGTCCAATCAACTATTTTCTCTAATCCACAACTTTTTATCCAAAAACCATTGCATTACCGATTTACTAATCGCACGAATCATGTTATTCAATGCCGATTTCTGAACACTCGTATTAAACTGGTCGTCCGTTTGCACTCGTACGTAGGAGGAAGAGAGGAAGGAGAAAGAGGAGAAATTAATCAAAAAAAGAAACGTGATTTGAAAGATCATATTAATCGTCGTGTATAATGGATGGACGAGAAATACAACTGTGCCGGCGAATCACGGAACAGCTGAAGAGCAACTCCCGCCAGCCGGTAAAGGATTCGAAGTGCACTGCACATGCCTGGGATATCGATTTGCCAAGCTCATCAGAACTGCTTTTTGACTCCTTCAGAATGAAAGGAAAGAGGCAGAATGGCACAGGGTAGAGAAGTTCAGATTGAGTAGTTCAGTCGCTTCGATGATCCCCCACTTCCCTCACCGGTGTAGTCATGCCAATTGTTTCTATATTGATTACTCTGTTCTGCCGCAAGCGTCACCTCAATCTTACCTCAGCTGCTCAATTGAACACAAATTTTTGACTCCTCTCTTTTGTGCCTCTGTGAATGGATGGACCAAGCATTAATGAAGTCAAAAAACTGTTGCTCCCCCTAATATTTACTTATTTTTAGAGGCAATTGTGGTGTTATAATCATGCAGCGAACAAAGTTATTAGAGATATTTTTACCATTCTTTCTATAAAGAATGGTAAAAATCTCCTCAAGGGTCTCCCCAGTACGTTATTTTGACGCGTCATATGACCCTCACATGACAGATGCCAGTTATAACGATTTTTGCCATACGCGACCGAACGCGCGCTAATGCGCGCTGTAACTGTAACAATCATAATTGAAAATCTCATAATTAAATTAATCATGAATTAAATTTGCCGCCTCAGACGACTGGAACCAGTGAGAAATAGGCGTGACAGACTTGCGAGATATCGATAGCTATCGACTTTAAGTGTATGTTCTTTTTAGAATAGGAAGGATGGCCAAATTATGAAGACATTGGCAGGATTAGGTAGGCCTGTTTGCTTGATTCACTCCAAATGAAATTCTCTATAGGAAACAAACACAATAGAGTTCTATATTAGCCATATGCGATTGCTCCCAGTTGAAAGTCCTGTTGATGTGGAAAATTCCCATTTCCAAATTTGCGAATCTCAATATTTATACAATCTAGAGCGTCGCAAATCGGGAAATGGAAAGTTCCAACAATTCCTGTAGTTATTCCAAGCATTATCACTAAGGTCTTATTCTTCTGAAATCAAAGCCAGTTTTATTTCATTATCCAGTGAAAAGAGAGGTGAGACCCATTTCAAATAAAAGTCTTACTTCCATTTTCGATGAGCAATGGTATACATAGGCAACAATTCCAATTGCTTCTCAATCCCATGACTGATGAAGTTGATTCCAGAAATGTGTCATTTCTCCATCTCTTCATTTACGATACTGAGCACGCTGCATGTGACGAAACTGCTACACGCTCGATATCATAAAATGATGAAATAAGAATTGCTGGTGCGCTTCTGGCATTCCGTATTGAAAAATAGGCTTCTTTGCATCGAAATTGGATTGATATCTTCTACATTTGAGATGCTTAGAATTTATGCACGTCTTCACGGTGTAGGTCCGTATCGACTATGTTTAGCCTTTTTTTTCCGGAATCGCAGACTGTACCAAGTGAATGACTTGTATAAACTGCCTTTTTACAGTGGATACTCTCTAAGATTTCGGCTTCGGGGGACCGAATTCCGCGAATTAAATGATTGGGAAGCCCCTGCTCATACGTACAGAGAGAGAGAGAGAGAATCCGTCTGTTTCAGTCATCTCGTACCGCCAGTAGTCTTAGTGCGCATTACTATTGCGCAGAGGAGCTCACAGACTATTTACACACACTTAGAGTGTTAATGGTGGGGGAAGTCGACTTCCCCAACTGAAATCTTAGAGAAGCGAAATGATAGGGAGTATCCAGTGTATGTAGAAATGTCTGATGCTTCTTACCGGTGAATTCCAGCCTGCGTATTCCACTGATTTTG